TCCAGCATACCACCGGACCACCAGGCGATCTCCCCCCTCCCTGACAAGGTAAGAAGCAGGGAGGGGGGAATAAAATAAAAAAAAATATAAAGTTAAAAAAAAATCCTCCCCCCCCCACACACATCATCCAGCACTCACACAAACACCCATCATCCAGCACTCACACAAACACCCATCATCCAGCACTCACACAAACACCCATCATCCAGCACTCACACAAACACCCATCATCCAGCACTCACACAAACACCCATCATCCAGCACTCACACAAACACCCATCATCCAGCACTCACACAAACACCCATCATCCAGCACTCACACAAACACCCATCATCCAGCACTCACACAAACACCCATCATCCCACACACACACACACATCATCCAGCACACACACACACCATCCAGCACTCACACAAACACCCACCATCCAGCACTCACACAAACACCCATCATCCAGCACTCACACAAACACCCATCATCCAGCACTCACACACACACCCATCATCCAGCACTCACACACAGTGTTTGTTTAGTGTGTGTGTATAAAATGAATGCAGTGTGTGTGTGTGTAGTGTGCATATAGTGAATGTGTGTAGTGTGTGTATAGTGAATGCTGTGTGTGTGTATAGTGAATGCTGTGTGTGCGTACAGTGAATGCTGTGTGTGCGTACAGTGTGCGTAAAGTGAATGCGGTGTGTTTATATAATGGAGTTTGTGTAGTGTGCATTATATAAACACACTACACAAACACAAACACACTGCATTCACTATACACACACACACTGCATTATATACACAGTGTGTGTATATAATGCAGTGTGTGTGTGTTTTTGTAGGTATGTAATTTGGGGAGAGGGGGCATTATTTACTTTTTTTTTTTAAAGCTGCACTGTCCTGGTCAAATCCCCCCTTTTTTTTTTAACCCCCCTCCAGACTTAACTACATCTAACTGACCCCCTAGCTACCCCCATATTACCTGTTTTGTTATCTTTATTTTGTGCCCGGACCTATGTTCTGGGCGCCGCCATCTTTGTGTGGGTAGATGAAGTCCCTGTGGGACACGTCATCTGCCCACACTACATAGCGCTGTGAGATTCCCGCACATGCTCAGTTGGGCATGCGAACAGGAATTTCATCCATTCATTCACTCGTCAGAAAGACGAATGAATGACTAGAAATGTCAGACGAACAAACAAACACTGAATATCGGTGTTCGTTCAGGTTATTACAAGGAGGAAGCTACCGGCTCGCATCTCCCTCCTTGTAATCTGTAAAAATAGAAGCGTCAGGGAGCAGTGCTCCCTGCCACTCCCTAAGTCCCGTCCCGTCCCCCCCATGTCCTCCCTCACTCTACGCTTCCACTGGCTGCTCACTGTTTACATGCCGCTACTGCCGCTAGCGAGTAGGGGCAGAATTTACCAATACCAAGTAATCTTTATTTAGTATTAGTAAATGTGGCTGACAGGCCAATTTAGGTCTTTCAGCCTTTTGGTAGATAGCTGCCTAATACCGTGGGAATTAGGGAGTTATCTACTAAGCGGCTGCAAGATGCAGCCGCGGCACGAATAGGATCTGAGTTTCATTCATTCAAATGAAATTCCGATACGATTCCGAATTGCGTCCTAACATGAATGGAGAAACTGTTCTCATTCTGTTAGGACGCAATTCGGCAGTTTTTCCGGCGTTCTGTCTAAGTGACAGGACGTTCGGGAATACTGACTGGAAGCATCGCGGGAACAGGGAGGAAAGCTAAGAATTGTGGGGAAATTTCTCTGACCACCGGAAATGAAGCACACTTTGCTCTTTCGTTGGTCATAGATGGCCAAGCGTAGGAAACCTCCATAAGACAAGTAGTCCCTACTTTGTCTTATGTTTTAAAGAAAACTAGAGCAGACAGGAAGAAATGAAGAATAGATCCTGACAGAGGGAGAAAAGAGGAATCGATTAACCCCTTAAGGACACATGACATGTGTGACATGTCATGATTCCCTTTTATTCCAGACGTTTGGTCCTTAAGGGGTTAAAGAAAGGTAAGTTCGGCATGACAGTGCCGCTTTAAATATTTTTTTTTTGTCCCCCCTCCCTGCTTCTTACTTGGCCAGGGAGGGGGGATACAGCATTCCCTGGTGGTCAGGTGGCATGGAAAGTACAGAGGGGGCAGCAGCAAGCGCTTACATACCTTCCAAGCAGCTCCCTTCAGCTCCCTGTGTAAATCTCGAGGCCTGCGTGCCACGCGTTGCCCTGTAAACATGCTCTGACAGCCACGGGACTCGCAAGATTTACACAGGGAGCTGATGGGAAGGTAAGTAAGTGCTTGCTGCGAGCCCCCCCAGGACCGCCGGGCTTCTTATGGGCCTGGCGGTCCTGGTATGTATTATCGCCAATATCGGTATGGGCTGATAATCGGTCGATCCCTACCTCAAATTCTAGCTGTGGCGGTGGCAACCATAGCAACGGGCTATGGGATAGGCTGAAAGCTGATACTTCAAACCAGTCACAAGTGCCACTGCTGCTAAGGCTAATGTTCTCATTATCTCAAGCAGCATAGAGGGGATGTGCTGTTGGGGATTCACATTTAGCAATAAAAACACTGGCTCTAGTGTATGGAATCACCTGGTGAACGTGCCAGGTGATTCAAGATTCTCAAGTCACTTCAATAAAAATGAAGCACTTACATTGTCTATAGTGTCCCTTTAAGACTTTCAAAGGATTTCACGCAGATTCAGTGCCTACATATAAAAAGGATTACAAAAAAAAAAAAAACTCAGGCTGAAAACACCTACAAGTTAAACTCCTGTGGTTGAGATATTATGTAAAAGGTTGTGAAAGGATAATATTCAGGAATTCATTTTGAACAACATCATTATTAGGAATTAACATGGATTTATGAAAGACAGGCCATGACAAACTAAATTAATTGTGTTCTATAGAGAAGTTAGTAGAAATATACAGTGCATTCAGACTACTTTGTATTTTTTTTTTTTGTAGCATGTTAAAATTTTAATTTGTTTTTTTTCACATCAATGTACCACCAAAACCTCATAACATAAAAGCAAAAAAATATATTTTTTTTCCCCAAACTTTGCAAGTTTGTTAAAAACAAAGAAACTGAAATTCATAGAAACCCCCCCAAAAAAGGATAGAAAGAAAAAATATAGATTATACAGAGTCTCGGCTTTTTGTGAAATTCATAGAAACCCCCCCAAAAAAGGATAGAAAGAAAAAATATAGATTATACAGAGTCTCGGCTTTTTGTGAAATTCATAGAAACCCCCCCAAAAAAGGATAGAAAGAAAAAATATAAATTATACAGAGTCTCGGCTTTTTGTGAAAGAAACTGAACTCTTATTGACATAAGTAAATCAGACCCTTTGTAGGGACACTTGAATTTTAGCTCAGATGCATTCCATTTCTCTGGATCATCTTTGAGATGTTGTTAGACTTGCGCCAAATGAATCACATGCTTGACTATCTATGAACGAACAAACCGATTCATACAGAGTTGCCCCCAGGACCGATTTGTTATATTTGTTTAGTGCAGGAGTGAGAGTAAAGGTGTAAAAACGGGAGAGAGGTCACCCCTGCGGGCGAGCATAAATTAGCCTTATTTGCGGGTGACATACTGGTATTCCTGACAGACCCGGTACAATCTATCCCAGCCCTCAAACAGGTGCTGACCAGGTATGGAACAGTGTCCTACTACAAAAACAATGCAGCCAAAACCCAGGCACTCCCATCCGACTACCACAGGTCATAGTTAACAAATTAGAAGAGACACACGCATTCGAATGGCGAACTAACTCGATCCAATACTTAGGAATTAAACAAAATCCGTCCATTCACTACCCACAGAAAACCACGCACCTATGATCCACCAACTTGCATCCCAAATGAGGGGATGGGAGGGGTTGGAAGTATCGTGGTTGGGACGCATTAACTCTATCAAAATGATGATCATGCTCCATGTGCTTTATCTCTTCTGCACCCTTCCCATACCACTGTCGGCCAAATTACTGAAAAAATTCCAGACTGTCATTAACACCCACATATGGAAAAGGAAGCCTCCCAGACTAGCCACCTCCAAACTCAGCCTACCATACTCGAGGGGAGGTTTGGGTGTCCCCGACATCTGCGCCTACTTTCGAGCCTCTCTACTAGCACAAGGTCTACGACTAATTAGATCTTCAGACGCAGAACAAACCCCTCTATGGCTGGCCCTCGAGGATGCCTACAAACACCCGGCCACGCTGACTAATTCCCTCTGGACAAACATACCGAAAACCATAGGGACAGACGCACTATGGTGCACAAAAACCACCCTGACCACCTGGAAGCAATGGGCCTCAGAAGTGATAGACGCACAAACACTACTTAAAGAAGCCCCCCTCACAGCATTGCAGGAAAGCTCACCTGACCTATCGCTCCAGACATGGTCAGCCCCTGGGATCCGCAAGATACAGGACCTATATGACCAAAATAAGTTGAAAGCATTCCCAACCCTGCAAAGCGAGTTCTCTCTAGAATCCAGGGACATATTCACATACTTAAGGGTCCAGAACATACTGCAGACACACACCAATTTAACAGCAAACACACAAAAATTAGGAACACCTCCTGCCCGGTACATTCTGTTATCCTGATCCATCAAACCTCTATCCCTATGCTATAACGCCCTAGGGGGAACGAAGGCCACACACAAACTCCCTTACATGGGGAAATGGGAAGAAGACATAGGGAAATCATTCAATATACAATAATGGCATGAAGCTTTTCATACCACCAAACGAGCATCCAAGAGTTTGTCCCTATGGGAAGCATATTGCAAAATCGCAATGCGTTGGTATTTAGTCCCTTTAAGACTAGCTAGGATCTTTCCCAACACTTCCCCATTGTGCTGGAGGTACAAACGTAAACCGGGGTCGATGCTACACGTATTTTGGGAATGCCCAATCATAGTTTTGGACTTCTGTCCAAAAGCTCATACAAGCAACTACTAGCATGACCATACCACTTCATCCTGAACACTACTTGCTCCATATATTCCCTGAGACCAACCCGACGAAGTATCCAACTACCACAACTGTCCTAAACATATTAACAACTGCCAAAATTGCGATAGCATCACAGTGGAAAAGCGAGACACCTCCAACTTCAGAGGAAGTAGCAAAAAGGGTGGATAGCATATGCCTTCACGAGAAGATGGCACTCAAAATGCACGGAACACCTAAGAAACACATTACCCGATGGGGCGGATGGCTAAGCATCCGAGCGGGGGAGGGGAAAGAAGGGTAAGGAAATACATAAAGGAGATCCAAGGTCAAGGAGATAGAACGAAGGAGGAGGGACCACGGGACATGGGGACCAAAAGGACATGTAGCGGAAACAAAAGCCGAGTGGACAATGCGCAAAGCCCAGGCCAAGTAGGTACACAGGTTACAGTTAAAGTAGAATGTTACCCTTCCCTTAACCCCTTTTTTCTTTGTACCCGGATGCATGACATAATTGAGATGTAGGCTACGCTTGGTCACCAACCTAGGGATTACTGATGACTGATGACCAAGGTACCATACTGAAATGGTCAGGCAAGCTAACACGCAAACAAACTGTATAGCATAGCACTGCTGTAATGCAAAATTAACGTTGGATTATGTAATGTACGTGTTATAATGTAAGTGTCATGTCGCAAACCGACTGTGCAATGCCTGGTCAATGAGCTGCTACGTGAGCAAATTTATTATGCACCGGAGTACTACCCAAAACCAATAAAAGGTATATATGCAAAAAAAAAAAATGGGAGAGAGGGTACTGTGCCACCTTAATGGCAACGAAGCCCCAATATTTAATCCATTCCACTAAGGCTCCACCAAATGGTTTCATCAGATTAATTTCCCTTATATCACTATAATACTTCACTATATTATGTATTTTTTTTTTTTACTGCATGTAGCTTTTATAGCCCTGAGTATATAGGGTTACATTTACGAAGGGCCAAATTGTGATGGCTAGATGATGGAGTCAAAGCATCTTCAAAACGGCAAGTCTTGTGGGGTGCCAAGCCTGAGCCCTCCTCTCCCCGACGCTAGAACTGGGAGGAGAGGTGTGTGTCGTAGTCCCCCAGTACCCCGGCAAGGCAAGGAAAGCTGTGACAGGCGCCAAAGTCTCACTGATGCAAACAGGGAGTGAAGGCTAGCCTGATCATACGGAAGAATTATTGTAGCTCAAACTGCAAAAAAAAAAACCCCAAAAACCACCACACTTAAAGCGGCACTGTCATGCCGAATCCCGTTTTTTTTTTAACCCCCCTCCCGCCTCCACTACATTCAATTGACCCACTAGTCACCCCCAAATGCCCCTAAGCCCCCCACATTACCTATTTTTTAATCCTTATTTTCTGCCCCGATCTTGATTCAGGGCGCCGCCATCTTTGTGTGGGTAGGTGAAGTCCCTGTGGGACACGTCATCAGCCCACACTAGATAGCCTGTGAGATTCCCGCACATGCCCAGTGAAACACCTGGACATGCGAACGGGAATTTCATCTATTCATTCATCAGACAGACGAATGAGTGAATAGAAAGATCAGCCGAACAAACAAACACTATGTATCAGTGTTCGTTTGTTCGTGCAGTTTATTACAAGGAGGGAGCTACCGGCAAGCAGTGGTTGGTGCGTAAAATAACACTCTGATTGGTGTGTAAAATGACACAGAGCACTGTGATTGGATGGATTTCAAGCCATCCAATCACAGTGCTTTTTGTCATTTTACACTGCGTGGGAAAGTTCTTTTGAATTTTCCCACGCTGTGTAAAATGACACAGAGCACTGTGATTGGCTTAAACCCACCAATCAGAGTGTTCTTAGCCTAACTGCAGGGCGGGGCAAGGCTTTATAAGCCTTTCCCCGCCCTGCGGAGCTCAGTCTGCGCGGAGCCCTCCATGGGTGAAGATGGATTTTTTTTTTGCGCTCGGGTTTTTTCTTTTTCGTCAGGTTTTTTTTTTTGCGCTCAGGATTTTTATTTTATTTTCAATTCGACGGTTATGATGGTTTTTTTATTTGGCCTTTTTTGGGGCTGAAAAATGAAGATTTGAGAAAAAAGAAGACATTGAATGGTAAGTTTAATTTTATTTTACAGGTTAGTTATTTTATTCCCCCCTCACTATTTTTTAGGGTGAGGGGGTTAGGTAGGGACTTTTTTTTGGGTGGGGGTGGGTGACTAGGGGTGGGGGCCGGAGGGGGGAAGTAGGTCTCCCCCCCCCATTATCATTATTGCCGCCCAGGGGTGGGGGCCGGGGGGGGCAGTAGGTCCCCCCCTCATTCTCATTATGGCCCCCACCTGCCTCCCAGGGGTGGGGCCCGCGGGGGGGCAGTAGGTCCCCCCCCTCATTCTCACTATGGCCCCCACCCACCGCCCAGGGGTGGGGGCCGGGGGGGGCAGTAGGTCCACCCCATTATCATTATTGCCCCCACCCGCCACCCAGGGGTGGGGGCCGGGGGGGGCAGTAGGTCCCCCCTCATTCTCATTATGGCCCCCACCTGCCTCCCAGGGGTGGGGCCCACGGGGGGGCAGTAGGTCCCCCCCTCATTCTCACTATGGTCCCCACCCGCCACCCAGGGGTGGGGGCCGGGGGGGCCAGTAGGTCCCCCCCATTATCTTTATGGCCCCCACCCACTGCCCAGGGGTGGGGGCCGGAGGGGGGCAGTAGGTCCCCCCCTATTATCATTATTGCCCCCACCCGCCGCCCAGGGGTGGGGGCCGGGGGGGGGCAGTAGGTCCCCCCCGATTATCTTTATGGCCCCCACCCGCCGCCCAGGGGTGGGGCACTAGCCCCCCCCACTATCGTTATGTCCACCACCCACCGCAGGGGTGGGGGCCGGGGGGACGACGACATTAGGTCTCCCCCCTTATTTTACTTTAGGGCCCCCGGGCCAATAGTTTTTTTTTTTTTTACAGTGAGCAGCCACAGGCTGCTCACTGTTTACCAGACATGCCCCTACTCGCGGTATAGCGAGTAGGGGCATATTATTTACTAATACTAAGTAATTTTTACTTGGTATTAGTAAAGTTGGCTGAAAGACCAATTTAGGTCTTTTGGTAGATAACTCCCTGATACCGTGGGAATTAGGGAGTTATCTACTAAGCAGCTGCAAGATGCAGCCACAGCAAGAATAGGATCGGAGTTTCATTCATTCGAATGAAATTCCGATCCGAATAAAGTGCCGAATTGTGTTCTAAAACAAACGAACATACTGTTCTCATTCAGTTAGAACGCAATTCGGCAGTTTTGTGTAAAATGACAGGAGGCATCGTGGGAACAGGGAGGAAAGCTAGGGATCATGGGAAAATTGCTCTGACCAGCGGAAATGAAGCACACTTTGCTCCTCCGCTGGTCAGAGCTGGTCAAGCGGAGGAATCCTCCATAAGGCAAAGAGTCCCTACTTTATCTTATGATTTTAAAGAAAACTAACGAAGACAGGAAGAAAAGAATAACAGATCCTGAGAGAGGGGGAGAAGAGGAAGAGATTGAGGAAAGGTATGTTCGGCATCACAGTGCCACTTTAATGTTGGCCATGATAGAAAGGTGTAATAATACACAGGGCATCACAGATTGCTGCAGACCGATCAGAGTACCCATGTTCCCTGCCGAAAGCACCTTCAATTGGAACGTGAGCATCAGAACTGAACAAGGGATGCATCGTTTATATGGGGGAACAGATGACAGCAGGATGGCGGAGGCAATGGTATGCTCTGGGCAATGTTCAGCAAAGAAAACTTGATTCCTGGCATTCATGTTAATGTTACTTTGACACATACAATCTACCTAGATAGTGTTGCAGACCATTTACACCCCTTCATGGCAATGGTTTCTTTCAGCTGGACAATGTACCCTGCCACACTGCAAAAAGTATTCAGGAATGGCTTGAGGAACATGACAAAGCGTTAAAGATGTTGTCTTGGCCTCTAAATTCCATAGATTATTAATCCGATGGAGCTGGAACAACAAATCTGATCCATGGAGACCCCATCTTACAACTTGCAGGACAAAGATTTTCAGCAAGATCAAGTGAGTTGGAGGTCTGGAGTGTTTATGTGTAAAGAGTGTTTTTGCAAAAAGCACAGAATTCAATAGAAATTTGCATTTTTATCAAATTAACCCCCTTGGCTTTCAGACATCTGGTCCTATTACTTCCTGGTTTGGTTAGATCAGCGGCGCTAAACTCAAGAGGAAGCAAGGGCTCAGAACACCTCATTGAGCTGCAGACAAGATAACTGCAGGTTTTGCAAACTGTTTTTATATTTACCTCTAATGAAAAAAAAAATCATAAGTAAATGCATTAAATATTTTTTTTGTATATTTACTAAACAGTGATTTTTATTTTGTTTATATTTGGACAGTGTAGTGTCTCTTCAAAACAGTGGTTTCCAAACCTGTACTCAAGGCATGCCTACCAGTCCGGGATTTAGGGATTACCCAGTTGTGTCTAAGGTATTTTTTTTTCTTTTCGCTCTTTTTCTAAAAACACACACCTTGATACAACTAAGTAATCCCTAAATCCTGGACTGGTAGGCGTGCTTTGAGGCTGGTTTGGAAACTACAGCTTTAAAGCATTTGCTGATAATGTCTTGATGCTAGATATTGACCCCTTAAGGGCCAAACTTCTGGAATAAAAGGGAATCATGAAATGTCACACGTCATGAGTCCTTAAGGGGTTTAAGGACACATACAGAGGTCTTGTGGAGTGGAGCAGTTTTGGCAACACAAGGGGGAACTGCACGATATTAGGCAGGTGGTTTTAATGTTGATGTGGGTTAATTATTTTTCTTTTACTTTTTTGTTTTATAAGTGTCCATTGCTTCATACTGGGTTCTAAAGGTTGAACTTGATATACTTGAGTATTTTTTTTCCAACCTAAAATATTATGTAACTGTATTCGATATCATGTACAGCAGAAGGATGTTGAAGGAGTCTGAGGCCTCTCACAGAGACACATTGGGCTGGCAGATCTCAGTGGCTGCCACACATGTATTACATCCTGTGTGCACTAATAAACTTGTTTTTATAGCACCTGCATTGTGTAACCCGTGGACTATACTTGGATGTAGGGATCGACCGATTATCGGTCTGGCCGATATTATCAGCTTATATTCAGTATTTTCGGGAATATCGGTATCGGCCAATAAAGATGTCGATATTACATACCACACTACGCAAACACACACACACACTTCGTTCACTATACACACACACACACTCCATTCATTATATACACACACACTGCATTCACTATACACACACACACACACACACCACACTCTGCATTCACTACACACACACACACACACACACACACACACACACACACAGCTCCCCTGTCTAAACACACTGCATCCACTACATGTGGCATGTATATTTTGTGCATTTACCTT